GGCCAGCCAATGACCTGCCTGGGAGGACAGGCAGCCAGAAGGCTCCTTAGAAGTTGCCATGTACTATGGACATGTCCTCAGGAGGGACCAGCTCCTGGAGAAGGACATGCTTGGTCCACTAGAGGGTCAGCAACAAAGAGGGACACCCTCCAGGGGATGGAGTGACACAGCGGCTGCCACAGTGGTTCAAACATGACGACGCTTTGAGAAGGGCCCAGGATGGGGCGAGGCTTTGTTCTGTACAAGAGGATATAGGGTGCTGTGAGTCGGAACAGACTAGGTGGCACCTACCAACCACAACCACATCAACAACAAGTTTTTTAGGGAAGCAAGTGGCCACATTCCTATCCTGCAGAGCCTCTGTGGTTGTGAGGTGCCTTGGATTCTGTTCCCGCTCTTAGGGACCCTGTGGACGACACTGCCCCGTCCTGCCCTCTCCTCACAATTGTGCTTTGCTTGGAGTCCATTGCTATAGCCACCGTGTCCATCCATCTCGTCTTGGGCCTTCCTCTTTTTCACCGTCCCTCCACTTTACCGAGTACGATGTCCTTCTCCAGGGGCTGGTCTCTCCTGGTGGTCTGGGTATCTCCTGATAACTTGTCCAGCGTACGTAAGACGAAGCATTCTGGCTGTACTGCTTCCAAGAGAAATCTGTTTGTTCAAAAGAACAAACTGCCAAAAGGCAGTTCCGGTCCTTGCGATAGTCTCCCCCAGCACCACAGTGCAAATGCCTCCTCTTCTCCAGTCTTCCTTATTCCGTGTGGGGAACAAAAAGGCTTCTCCCCAGCTTTGTCTCCCCCAGATGTGTGCCAAACCTAAGAGGCTGCTCGCTGGCACATGGTGGGAGGGCAGATGCTTGGAGATATTCTCCCTGAAGGCATTCAGCCACTTGGAGCAATCTGACGCGATTGTCTGACCCCTATAGGGGGGGCTCACTCCCTGCTGTTGAGAACAGTGGATTGCTTTCTCTGGAGAGCTCAGAACAGGTCACACCAGCTCAGTGACAGCCAAGGTTAGACTGCCATCATGAGTCTAGGATCCGCCCATCTTGTCACGTGTACCCTTAATCCCTCCTGCATTCGTCCGATTTCCAGCGTGCTCTGTCTGATGGCGAGGCTATTCACATCCCCGGTTAGTGTCAGAGGGATTTCACCAGAGGCTTAATCCACGTGGGGACTGGGCTTTCACTGTCATCCCTAGCCTCCTGCA